TGACAGATACTTCTAAAGATGAAGAAAACCAAGAACAGTCTGAAGAGCTACAGGAAGATATGTTAGGTAGTATATTTTTTTTTATGCCACAACTTCCTGAGAATTATTTCTGTGTGAATAGTTAAAGTTCTGAGGTTCTTGCCTTCTTGCAGAAAATAATTGAGCCAAAGTAAATCTTTGGCATTTCATAAATTACAGTATTTTTGGCTTCCAAGATATCTTGTTGCATCTCTAGGATAAATCCTAATCTCATGGAACAGGAAGGAGGGCAGAGGTTAATGTTGAATTTCGATGAACAGCATTTCTCATTGTCAGTTTTGCAGTCAGGAGGATCAGAGCAGTAGAACAGAGCCTGAGCCTTGAAGACAAATTACTGGAGAGAAGAGGCACAGAATGGTGTCATGGAAGAGGATGCTTTTTTGTGGGGGGAGTTGGGGTAAAGGGGAAGGAGGGAAATGTGAGGGATAGACCAGCAAACCCGAGTCTGTATTTATTCTTCTAGAATTTATTCTTTTAAGAAGTTTCGAGATGGGCCACTAGAACTGCAGAGATGATTTAGTGACTGTTTCCTGACTCAATCCAACGCAGGGAACCGGTTGCTGCTGCCGTCCCCTGCCGTGAAGCAGGAGGCCAAGGCCGTGGAGGAGAACGTGGGGCTCATCGTGTACAACGGGGCCATGGTGGACGTGGGGAGCCTCCTGCAGAAGCTGGAGAAGAGCGAGAGGGTGCAGGCAGAGATCGAGCAGAAGCTGCAGCTGCTGGAGGAGAAAACAGGTGGGACTGTACTTGGGAAGGCAGTGCTGACAGAGACACTGAGGCTTTCTGAGGGGAGAAATCAGTTGGAGTGATATCTGCGATCTAAATTGTACTTATTTGCCTGCCTGTCGGTTTTCTTTTTCCCAAAGCCTTTTAACATGCACACCGTTGTTGAGTACCATTCTTGTCATGCTGAAATGCTTTCATTTCTTTTATTCGAGACTTCCAAATGCAGTGAGAATTAAATATTATCAAATGGTAATGCAATGCAGTTCTTAATGTTCTTTAAAAATTACTATTATGATGTTGGCATATAAATAGAATATTAAGATGCAAATTCACAGCATTGGAAGTGACTCGACTTTCTTGTTTATTCCCTTCCTAAGATGAGGATGAAAAAACTATACTACAGCTGGAGAACTCTAACAAAAGTCTGTCTGGAGAGCTCAAAGAAGTAAAAAAGGACCTTGGCCAACTGCAAGAAAATTTGAAGATCTCAGATGATAAAAAATTGCAATTTGAGGGTCAGCTGAATAAGACAATCAAAAATTTAGCTACTGTTATGGATGAAATACAGAGTGTTCTTAAACAGGTTAGAGTTGTTTAATTCCGTTTTTTATTACTGTATCTAAACTTCTGTTGACTAAACAATTGGAACAGAAACTTCAAAATAAAAACCAAATTTGACATGAATTCAGGGCAGTAATATCTTAACATATATGTGGAAGAAGCTCAATGTGATATCAGTTTTTTAAAGATAAAAAATTAAATGTGGGTTTTTTTCTTAGCTTGCAACACATATTCCTGACTGAGATGTTTTTAAAAATGCATAAATATTAATGTAAATCTCAAACCATTTCACTGTTTTCCTGTTCTGATCTTGTCCATCCCCAACAGCCCAAATCTGCTCCTCTGTTTTATTGGTGAGCAGTACTTTGTCAGGGCAGAATTCAAATATTTCAATATATGAGAGTATCTCAGTAAAATGAGTTTAAAGCAAACCACGTAACACTCCAGAGCATTTCTGCTTCTCAGTTGGTTGTAACTAGAGTTGGATACCAGTTCACAGAGTCTTTAAAGCTGACAGCAAGCAGTGTCTGTCTCGCGCTGCTTTACAGCTCACAGGAGAAATATCACTTCCACAACTCATGTCATCCTCTCCTGGCTTTTCTTTTCAAGGATATGGTGAAGAACGAAGATAAAGATCAGAAATCCAAAGAAAATGGAGCAAACGTATGATAAACTGCTGCTTTTGAGAAGAATGGTGTTACATAATGTAATATAAATCATGATACCAGAATGTATGGGAAGTGATGCATGTTTGATTTTAGTAGTATAAATATCCTAGTTCCAAAAGATGTATAAAGTTTTATGAATGTGAGTGTCTGCTCCTGAAGATTGCTTGTAATTCTTAGCATTCAATTTGAGACACTCCTCGAGTGAAAATAATTTTGCATTGCAAAAAGTTTTAGGATGAACTTTGTTATAGTTTTAACCCTAATAAAGTTCATCAACGTTAATGAACAGTAGCAAGTATTTAATTACCAAATGTTTTTCATTGAAGCCTAGTGAAATAAAAATTTTCATTATTTATAGACTTGCCATTTTTAGGGTTTTGTCTTTATTTCAGTCTAATTAGTCTTTTTAAATTCAAATATAAATCACAAAATAGCATGCTGCTTAATTTTGCAAGTAAAGATTTTTTTTTTTTTTAAAAAAAGCTTCTTGGATTTTTTTTTTTTGTTTTCACTTGTCACGACTTTTTTTTTCCCTTCCAAATATAACTTTCTTCCCCAAAGCTGCTTGTATTAAAGCCTCATAATATACAGTAGTTCAGATGAGTTAAGAAAGCAATAGAAACCTGCCAAAATACTGGTAGGATTGTGAGATTTATATGAAAATACATGGGTCTGTTTTAAATGTACGTCATTTGTGTTCATTAAATTGTTCTTCTTTTTGGATTAATAGATATACTCCTTTTTAATTACAAATGCAGTGTATTAAGATGTATGGTTGGGTACCAGGCCAGTAGATGTCAGAATAATGCCTTACGTGGAGAAAAAGCTGCCAGTGGAGACCACCTTGGATTGAATTTGGACTTGTTTCTTAATGTGTGTAATTGCTGCAAAGGCTCGAGTCCATCCAAAGAATGGATGCCCAGCAGCAGTGCTGCATGTTGTAATTACAGAGGAGCGGGACACGCTGGGGGTGGTGGAAATGGGTGAGGGGGCCTTTCTTTGTGCTCACAGGTCACAAGAGACTGACACTTAAAACTTCCTGTGCCATCGTTGTCAAAGGCAGCCTACTCACTGAATGTCAAACAGGAGCAGTTGTGTTTTGGTGCAACTTCCAGGAAAATTAACGGGTTTGAAGGTTGGAATGGAAGTGTTTTCTTACAGAAATGGTTAATTTTAGCAGATCTTTTCTTTTTTTAGCCTAGTTGTCCTAGGTTACTAAATACCTGTTAGGAGAGTCCAAGTGCCATAATATGTATGAATAACCTACATGGAAACTCATGTAGCTTTAATGAGATACACATTAAAATGCCTGAATTTATGTTCAAAAGAGTCTAAGCTGGTGCTTTTATCACTTACCTTTCTTGGCTCTTTTGGAGCTAGACAAGTGAAATATCTTTTCATTAAAGTAACGTGCATAAGCTCATTCATCTCAGCTGAGTCACTGTACAATACCTGAACCGTTCACATGTAGGAAATATTATAAAAACAATAATTGTTGTATATAAGTACACAGAAAATGCATGCTTTAAGAATTGGGAGATAACATCTGTGATTGAATGAGGATGAGGATTGAATTTATCTTCTGAAAAGCATTATCTGTGGTGTACAGATGGTGTTAACAAATTCTTTTGTAATCAAATTCTATTTTTCACCTTTACCTTTGTACAGATTGTTGACAGCATGTTTAATTTTGGATGTTGAGCACCACTTATTTAAAGGGATTTGAAAGAACTGCATTTGAAATACTTTGTTCGTGATTTTCAGCAGTACACGTCAACGTACAGGAAAAGGAGTCCAGAATTCAAGAGAACATCATTTTAGGCACACTGAAACATCTGAAATATTGTGTTGGGGTATTTCTACCTCCAGCTGCTGAAAGCAGTTGTTACAACAGGTAGGCCTGATCTGATGTTTCAGTGAGGGGCCCTGTGAGACAGTTGCTACAGTGATACAGATTTTTACAATATTTAACAAAAAAGGTATTTGTTAGAATGACTGTAATCTTTCTCTATATTGCTTTGATGTAATAGTGTTTCAGATACTATGTACAGTCTGCATTTATGCTGGAAAGGAAATTAAATGGATAAAGAATAAAGAAAAAAAAAAGGAAAAGTTTTACAACCTAAGCAGAGCTTGACCGGTCTCCTGAAGCACAAATAATCTGAGGAAGAACAGGCACCCCTACAGCCTGTGTGAGCTGCTGGACCAAACAGCACAAGGTTCTGTATATGACCCACACTGATGCTGTGCATTAGCTACAACTTCCTGGTAATATTCCCAGAAATGTAACTGAATCTTAAGTTGAGTAAAGTGTCATTAAGGGGGGGTTGGAGAAACAATCTTTCGTCAGCTTTGACTTACAAAGTTTTTGCATTTCATGTCCACACTTCCCACCTTGTGGTCTTTTGTTATGTACCAGTTGATGGCAAAAGGCTGGTAAAAGTGAGCCTAAGCTGGGTCTTACTCTGCCTCAGCATCCCATTTGTTTGGACTTTTTAAACCCTCACAGATACCCTGCGGAAAGGAGGAAATCCCAGCCTGCCTTATTCTGTAGAGAAAGCCCTGCTGCAGCAGGCCTGTAAATGGGGCCTGATCTCTGGTTATAGATGATTTCCCTCCCTTCTCTGTTTTCTCCAATAAGGGCAAATGAATGAGCTGAAGCCTTACAAAGTGATACCCAGCCCAGTGGATGTCCGTGGCTGAGGCTGGGAAGAAATGTCCAGGTGATACATGTGCGTGCCAACTGACGTAGAATAAAAGAGGCTCTCTGAGCCCCTTTGCTTTGCTGGGGCAGTGAAAAGGCACAAGTCTGTAGTTTCATTGCTGCACAGCAGCAGTGGCAAGTGGACCAACAGGGAATTTCTGCCAGGTTTCTGGGGAGGGTGAGGATTGCACACAGGAAGTGGAGCTGCTGCCAGCAGTGCTGCATGTCCTACCATGCTGAACACACCCAGTGTTTTGTGACTCACCCAGTGCCTGGTGCCTGGGCGCTGCTGCTCAGTGACCTCTGGATTGCACAGTGACTTCCCAGCTCTTGCTTTGTCCGGTGTCCTCTGGCTCAGCCTGGGGTGCCCTGAAGTCAACAATGGAGAAGTTGGAATTTTCTGTCTGGTGGCTGCAGGTTTCCACAGATCCAGCTCTTACAATTGTTTCTGTGTCTAACATTATAAAGCCTAGTCCTTTAACATAACTGTTTTTTCAATGTTTTAACTTTAATGCTTTGAGAGAGAGGATTGGTTTCCAGTCCATCTTTCTGCTGAGTAATGTGCTGTATGAATATCTGTTTGGACTTATGTAACACAGTTAACTTCCACTGACAGTTTTACCAGAAATGTGCACAAAACGTGGTTTTTCTCTTGCTCCTCTGTAATTTTTGTGTACTCAGGTGAGGTTCTTACCTTGAATGCATTTGTTCAGTTCAGTTTATATTTAAAAATATAAAAGCTAAAATTATTCATTTTGAGTGATTGAGTCTTCCAGCCAGCAGTAGATTGCAAAACATGTAGGTAGCACAGTCTGGTATTTTCCAGAAAGCAGAAATGGGTCAAGTAGAAATTCAGCTGGGGTTTGGATATTGCTGTGTAGTGTGACAAGAAAAATGGCATAAATAATGAATACTTCTACTCAGCTCTCAAAACTTCCAGTGTTTTCCCACCAGAGGGGAGAGGAGGAAGAACTGCAAAGAATTCCAGCCTGAACTCCCTCCACTCAGCTTTTCAGCAGATATTTTTCAAGTCCTAATTTGCTTTATTATTTGCTTGCAACCTTTTTAGTGGTATACAGGAGAATTTGTTTGTCTGTTGGGTTTTTTTCCCTGTACTGCTTAAATCTTTCTGGTTTTCCTGATGCAAAGTCATCCAGTTCCATTCCTGTTTTGTCATGCAAGGGGCAGGAACAGCTGGAGAACGGCAGCCTTCCTTTTTGGTCCCTTTTTAGCAGGGCTGGATGGCAGCCAGCAGATCAGCATCTGGAAAAGCAGAAATTGCTGCCACCTGTAGTGTTGTAGAACTGTGCAGTTGGAGGTGGAAGTACCTTGCAATGCTGCTCTCAAAAAACACCTGTCATTGCAGACCAACCTCACTGACTGTGAAACATCCACTGCATGTGTGCAGAGGACCAGTTAAAGGAGCACAGGCAACTTTCCTTGGAAGTATAATGGGTGTGCTGTGTGGGGAGATGGGTTGTTAACACTTTCAGCTTGGCTCTAATAAGAAACCAGAATTTTGGAAGTTCTCTTAACCCTCTGGAAAGACTCCTGCCTGTTTCACAAGGGTTACACTGCATCTCCCATGAAAGACTTGCCTTTTCATCTTGTCTCCTGATGCCTTGTTTTACCAAAGTACTGTTCAAGCGGGTTAAAATATTAAGTACATAATATTAAATGTAACTGTTAGAACATTTGTGTTATAAGTAGTAAAATCTTGGGGAAGGGTTTCCAAAAGCAACTTAAGAGTATTTGTAAATAGAGAAAAGGTTATACTTGTCAAGTATCTCCTCTGATATAAGGCAGCCATGTATAATGTGACTTAAACAGATGAAAGTGAGGATTAGCTGCTTACCAATACTGAACCTGATTTTTCTGCCTTAATGTCCTTACTGAAATCAAGCTAGTAACCTTTTTTTGGTTTTGGTGGGTTTTGTTTTGTTTGTTTTTTTTTTTTCTTTGGAGGAGGAGGGGGGTGGTGGTGTTTTCATTATATATACTGTATATAGAGGAAAAATAGATGATCTTTAGTACGAGGACACATATGGGTGGCAGCACATTTATAAGTCTTCAGACTATCTATGGGATCCAGTAAGATGCTTGCAAAGAATGTGCAGTCAGCATTTTCAGTCTTCTGATTTGGGCATGTAATGATGGACAGCACAAAAGGGGATTTGGGGGGTAATACAATAATGTACAGTAATGGTGATCCATGGACAAAACCAGAATTTGTAGCCTGATCTTTGGGTAGCAGTGGGTCAGAATAAGTAGGATTGATAAGGGGTGGCTGTGCAGATGTTCTGAGCAATGGATTCATTCTGTTACCTGACGTGTTTTAAAGTAAAGGAAAACGAATCCACTTGAGGTCTTATTTTCAATGAAGATGGTTGGGGGAAAAAAATTATTCTAATGCAACAGGCAATTTAAGAACCTACAAAAATTCCCTAAAGAACGCCCTGAATTGAACACAAAATCCCTCTGTGATCCCCAGGTTCTAAAGCAAGCAGAGCAGAGCTTACCTCTTCTGAGGGATTTTTCCCAGTGAATGAGGGGATGCTCTGCAGCACAGAACGAGCTTTGCAAGTGCTGTGGAAAACGTAAAGGGCAGGGCTAAAGCATGGCCGGGGCCTCTGCACCGGTGCCCCTGTGCCAGCTCCGCAGCGCTTCGTGTAAGTGTAACCCGAGACAGGGCAAGAGCCGTGGTTCTGGGCGAGAGGAGAGGGAGGCTTTTGTCTCGGAGAAGTCTTAGCTGGAGCCCTCCAGTGCCCCTGGAGTTACTTGCTTTCAGCGGGACTCTGTTCTCGTCCCGACGGGAGCCCCTCGGTGCTCGCAGAGCTGGTTCCAGCAGAGTGGCCTGAGCTGCCGCAGCAGCTGAAGTACCAACCCCCCTCTCAGGGCAGGGAGCTCCTGCCTGTGGCATTTGGGGACCAGCGGTGTAAATCCCGGCAGGCACAACTCGGGCTGCTGGAAAAGCGGGAGCAAGCAGGGCATCGCCAGCACAGCTTTGTCCGGAGGCACAGCCTCGGACGCTGGCGCAGGCCGGGTCTGAAGTGGAGCCAGTGGTGCCCCGGTGAGGCACTGCATCCCGAGAAGGGGCACTCGGCATTTAGGGACAGCGTGGCAGAAGCAGGTGTGCTGCGTGGTTTCGGTGTTTGGCCGCGGGTCGTGTTCCCTGGAGGAAGGGGCTGCATATAACGCGTCCGAGACTGGCACTGCAGTGAACGGGGAGGTGAGTTCCTAACCAGGGGAAGACTAAATTAGTTTAATTCTTCGTGGATGTTTTGAAAGCAAAGATGAAAGGAAAGAACTCTGGGGCTGGATGTTCTGGATGGTGTCAGCACAAAGATTCCTGTGAGGAAGAGCCACAGAGCTGCTGCTCCCGGAGAAGGTAAAGGCGGAGGGCCCGAGCCCCGCGGGTGGGTGACGGTGTCGGGAGGGAAGGCACTGATCCCCTAATGCGGATGGGATCGCCTGCAGTCAGCACCTGCTTCGAGTCCTAATTCCTCTGGAAAATATCCCCCCCCCGAAAAACAAAACCCAGCCCTACCAAGTACTCTGTTAAATCTTTTCTAAAAATTTATAAAAGTTAAAAGGATGGAAGATCATGTGGAAAAGAAGAAATTAAGCTCAGACACATTCTAGTTGCTACCTTAAACATGTAGCTATTCACATCAGAAATTTAGAAGATGAGAATTTTGCAGATGACATGTAGCACTGACTTGTTTCCCGCGGCACTTAATTTGAATGTATTGACGTCCATGGGATACACAGAGAACGTGCACTCAGATCTCTCAGGTCTGTTACAGGTCTATAACAACGACAAACAACCGAGGCAAGGTTTTTTTGGTAATTTTAACTAATTCACAGTGGTGAATATTTAGGCATCATTTTAATTTGCTACCTGCGGTTAGTTCACGTTCGATTAATTGTTCTTCTAGTGACCTCTGCAGCCTAATGGGGCCTGCAAGGAAGGGCTTGGTCTATAGGTAAAGTACAACGGGATTATCGGGTGCTCTTAATGCAAATTTGCCACGAAAGTCCTCTGAAAGGTGGCTGCAGAACACACCCACCAGCATAAAAATAACGGTGGGTCAGAAGCAGAGCAGATGAAATTTCTGCTCCTGGTATTGACTGCTGCCTCACAACTCTCCAGTTGTCCCTCAGGGCACTGGTTTTGGTCAGTAAATCCCTTTGCTGTTTGCAGCTGCGGTCGGGGGGGGTGTGTGTGCAGATTTCGGTATGTTGGGGTCATTAACCTTGAATTTTACCCTTGGTCCTGCGGAGCATCCCGGGACGTTGCTCCTGTGTGACCGAGCTTTAGCAGTTTTTAATTCTTTCTCAAAGCAAAAAAAATTATCAATTTTTTGAAAACCTGAGCAATGATCTGTTTCAAAAACTTTAACAGGAAAATTTCTGGTGTCTAGCCTGTGTTGTCCTTGGCCAGCTCAACCTCTGTATGTTTCTCTTACCTGGTTAAGCTTAAATCACGTAAGTTTTTTTTTTCCTCTTTCTAGTATTTACCTTTCTTTCCCAATAATTTGTATAGAATAGCCACTCCCTGTTGCAGCCCCATTTTCTGACTAGAAAATTGATTTCTTCATTCAGTCTCATTTCTTGGGCACTCTGATAACTTCACCAAACTGGTAACATCTGCTCCAGCTGGAGCTCATCTTCCCTGAGCCTGCTGACCTCAACTCATTCCAAAAGAGGTATTTTAAGGAAGAACAGTGTTTTACTTACTGGTCTCATCTAAAAAGCAGCAACATCTCTAGGTACATTGGGAATGATTCTCTCTTGCTCTAGTTAACTTTTGTATCACTGATGAAAAGTGATGGTTACTGCTGGTTCCCTGGGGATGATTTAGAGAGCTTAATTCCTTTGGGTTTTACCTCCTTGCTTCCTAGTAACCTTTTTTCTGCTGCATAGCATGGCTGGTTGAATACAAATGTAAATTACTTTGGGAGATTAATTAGGTTATTTCCCCTGTCATCCTGCCTCTTGCTGCAGTTACACCCAGAGTTAGAGTTCTCTCGCTTCTCTCTGGGAATTTCACTTTTTCAGACAATCGATGTTGAAGCCATGTTTTCATGAGTTTACTTCCCTTTCTGGAAGCCTAACTGAAACGAATTTTTAATTTGCATGTCTTTAGTTAGGTAATTTTCTGATTAAAATGGATGCATTCTGTGCGTTCTCTTCCAAAAGTTACCATAATGGCCGTTTTCTTCTCTGGATGACTTTTCTCCCATTTCTTATATGTGTTTTGCTCTAGAAAATACAACTAAACAACTGAAATGTAAGGGACAATGTTTTGTTGGGTTTTGGGTTTTTTTTAAAGGAATTGACAATATTTAAAAATGAAGTCAGTGGTATTACATTTGCTGTTTTTAGCTTACACAGAGAAAGATGTGACTGTATTTTTAATCTACCTGCCCTCATGTTACTGTTTGCAATAATGAGAACTCCTCACTGCTGTATCTCAAAGAGCTTTCCTGGCTATGGCTCCTCATCAGAAGACACCCGTGGTCCCACAGATCGTTGTGTTACTCTTTATCTCAGCAGTTCAAAGGAAGTTTGTTCTAGAGAAACACATTGGGACATGGGACATCCTAACTTTAGAGAACAGACTACACCATCACTGATATTGGGCACCAGAACTTTAATCAAATTAAGGGAAAATTCAGTCCCAAAAGCTTATAAATAACACAAACTGCCCTGCTGTATTTATTCCCAGATAAAATCCAAAATGTCTTTCTCTTCCCTTCTGATAGTAATCTCATGGAGGGTGTGGTACACCCAGGACTGGTAGGAGCTTTTATGTTCTCCTGGGGAAATGGGGAGGGGGGGGGAGGGAGGAAGAGAAAATCACAGTAATTAAGATCTCCCTCAGAGGGTGAAGCAGGGCCTCATTTAAAACACTTTTCCTCTTGATCTGGTAACTGAGCAAACAGTCAGAATGCTAATATCTCTCTGTGGGACCATCTCCTGTGCTTAGCTGAGTTGCTCAGTCAATTGTTCACCAAACTAGGGGCAAACTGCTCCCTCCTACCTTTCCTGCCCAGCCTGGGGGGATCCATGCAGGGCAGGTGCTGGGAGGGGAGCGGGGAGCGGGGGACTCTCAGCTGAGATTAGGTACTATTGCAAATACTCGATTTGAGGGCACTGACCTCCAGAGCCTTTGTCGAGAGAAACTGGGGTGATTGTCCAGGGGAATGTATTTCAGTAGCTGCTTGCTTGTTGTCCTTGGTCATCACCAGCTCGTGATGGTGATGTGATCCCAGCCTGCCTTCTCTCCTGACAGCAGCATTTTCCTTGTGCCTGAACGGCCTGACTCCCTTTTTGTGGTTCCTATTGAGTAGAAGAGAAAATATCGAAATGAAACATTTTTGCTTAGCCTTCAGGGGCTGAATTTGCTGACGGTTCAGCATCTCTGTTGCAGGGCTACAAATTATTCACAAGGAAAGCTAAGAAAGCCCTGCCCTTTCCACTTAGGCCGAGGCTGCAGGTTGGAAATTTATCCACTTGCAAAATATCCTATTGAAGAGTGACAATGAAAGGACAGCAGTTTCCTGTGAAGTGCCAAGTTTTATCCGTTTTTGCTATAGGTATGGATCGAACTGGAATGAGATCAGACGAGGAATTGTTTTGTGCATTTGGCAGAGTGATCTGACAGGTCTGGCTCCTCACTTTTCTTTGTGTGAGTATCCCACAGAACTTAGGAGAAGTGCTCAGAGAAGCAGCTAAAAAATGGGCAGAGAGAGTCCCTGAAGCGCCTTGATTTTGGGGGGGTTTAATGTTGATTTGATATTCAGACAGAATCCCCCTGTTAGGAGAGGGGTGGCATTGAATCTCCTGAGGAGGTTCAGCTTGAGGAGCAAGGAGCAAAACTGCCATTGCATTTATGAGCTGTAATTCCCTTTCAAGGCGGGAGGGGCAGTTTTGGGCAGTTCTCTTTGTTCCTGCGTGATGACTCCAGGTGTAATTACAGTGTTCGTTCTGCGGGCACGGCTGGGGAGGTCTCTCATGCTGAGCTGCTCTGCACGTTTGTGCCAACTTCCAGCAACAGTTCTGAAGGGCCACCTGTGCCAGGTACACCTGGAGTTCACCTGCAACTGAGTACTTGAGCATTTCCTACTTCTAGGCAATTCTCAACGCTGCTTAAAATGAGACACAAATTCCTTCACAAAGGGGACCTGACTAGCTCTTAGGACAGATTTGTTTTCACTTCGGTAGTTTAAATTTTTTCACAGCAGTTAATGTCGGGATCAGCATGGTTCTGCTGCATGGCCAAAGAAGCTACAGAGGAAGTGATGGCCTTGTGAGTAGCTGGTTTCTGTTGGGCCTACAAAAGGTCAGGACTCTGGAGTGGATGTTGTTTGTGGTCACACAGGTTTGTCGTTGCTGTGGTCACACGCAGGAACACACAATCCTGATGAGGCTGGGGATGTGCCTCATGGGATTCCTTTCTTTTGGAGTCCCTTTCTTCCAGTGTCTTTCATCCTGTCCCACAAACAGGGATGTAGGTTTGCAAGTCAAAGGAGAATAATTTTGTACTTCAATGGTTCTGGCTTCAGTGAAGTGTAACTCACAGCATGTGGTCATGCTTCACACTGAACTGTTTGGGATTATTTAGAATTCTGTGTCTTTTTATTTTTATCAGACCTGAAAAGAGTGGATGACTTAAAACAGTGCTTTGTTTTACACTGCTGTGTGTAGGCTGCCAAACACAGAAGAACAATTTGAGTTTTTAATTGTTTTATCCTCAAACATTACTCTTCAGGTTATTTTCCGTAAGGTACCTGTTTCAGAACTTGCTAAGTTGCATATTCTGTTGTGACTGGGTTTTCCTGGTTATCACAGTTCCAGTGGCGACTCTGTTGATGTATTTTCAGGAGGAAAAAAGGAAGAAAACGCTTGTGCTCTTTGAAAGACCTTTTTATCTATCTATTATTTGCTTAATTATTTAATTCTATCTGTGTAATGACTGTGTAAAACTTACATTATTTCATAATGTTTAGTGCCTAATTTTAGCTGGCATTCAGCCCTTACCAGTTACTTCAGGTGTGATGATACCCCTGCACATTTAATGCATTTCCATATAAAATTCTTACTAAGTTATTGATCCTGTATTATAAAAGCCCTCTCTTAGTAGAATATTTGTTGCACTTGCCCTAAGTGTTCTATTCAAACTGCTGATTGAACTCACAGCAGCAAGGTACAAGGGGCTGTGACATTCTACAAAATCCTGGTGTGTTTAACAGATCTGCTCAGACTGAATTCCCTGAAAGGTGTCATCTCTAAAAGCATTTGTGCATGCAGGTTTTTTTCATACTCCAGCAAGTAGTCTGTTTACAAGTACCACTGAACAAAAGTGTATAATTTTTTTTTGTAATAAGCTCCATTCAGTTCGATTTACTCTGAATTTTTTCTAAAAATAATCTCTAACCAGATTAGTTGTGAAGAACCTGATGTGTACTGTGTGTTTCTCGGGGCTGAAGATTTTCAGTAGTAAAAGCTTTTGCTGTTTTCTTTCAAGTGAGAAAAAAGTCAAGAAAATAGGCTGAACTGTGCTATATCCTCAGTCTTTTGAATCCTTGCACCTTGAATCCTGAAAGGCAGATCTTAACTGCCTTAATGCTCTTTTAGGGTGAGGGTAATTTAAGCAGGGCTAATTTTTTCTCTGTTTAAGTCAGAAAAGACAACAGTTTGCATTAATATTATGTAGTTAATGAAATAAATTGGATTAATTAGTGATGCTTTTGCTGCGGCCTTTGATACAGTTTCAGAATTAGAGACTTCATTTCAAGGCTAGTTTTAGCTTTTTCTGTAGTTCATCTTGCTTTAGGACACGTCCACTCCACCACTGTGGAGAGCGCCAGCTTTGACAATGAGCACAAGCATGTGGAGTTCAGTCATGGGAAAAAAAATTATGAATACAGTAGCTATTTATTTAAGAGTTGAAGAAAACCCAAGAGTTTTCCCATATGGATGCTGTTTTGCATGGCATGAAGTAAGTGCAACCTTTACTTTAACTTGGTGTAACCCCAGTTAAAGTAAGAGCTCATCAAAAGTGCCCTTGCTTTGGGTCACTGAAAGCAGGGTGGCTGAGGTGGGAGGGGAGAGGGGCTGTGAGAGGCACAGGTACCCATGTCCAACCAAACCAGATGACTCCTTTATTCCTGGGAGCCTATCCCACCTCCTGCTCAAAGCAGGATCAGCTTTGGGGTCAGGGCAGTTGCTCTGGGCTTTGTTCCCTCACAGCTTGGAAAACTTGCTGCATAGCTGTGCTGCCCTTAAAGGTGCAGAGGATTTCCTTATGCCAGTCTGAACCTCTCCTGTTCCAAGGGATGCCTGTTGGCTTTCATGGAAAAAGGTTTGGGAACTGTGGACTTAAGTCCTGGAGTCCAAACTAGGACTGTTTAATCTGCAGTGTCCAAACAACTCCTCTGCGATCTCTTATGGTGGTAAAGATGCTGTTTTTCATTTTTAAACTGGTTCTTCGTTTTGGTTTGTTTTTTCCCCTCTGGACCATAAATTCCAGCCTAATGAAAGGGTACAGAAACTTACTTTCTAGCATAGGGAACATCTTTATAGCTGGATATCCACTCAGGGAGAGTGGAAGGAAAAGTGGCCGTGCACATCCATCAACATCCTGAGTTCCCAGGCAGGTGTGAAGTTGCCCATACACCATTAAAGCTTTGTTCTCAGCTGAATGAAAACCCTCCCTGCAGTGGGATTTGTCCTGTAACAAGATCAGAGCTCCTGCCCTCACTCCAGGCCAGGGGCTGGGTCCAAGAGAAGCTAAAACTGTGCAAGTTCTCTGGCAGCTGCTTCTGCAGAGGATGAGGTTTGGGCTGGTGTTGCCTGGGAGTGAGTTGCACACAATAGCTGTCACGATTTGCTGGAAACCCTCTGCAGGGAGTCCTGTCCTCTTTTGAGCAGCTCTGTGGGTGCTGTTCCTCTGAAAGACGAGTGTGTGACTTCCCTTGGCTGGGGTAGATGTGAACTGAAGACAGGGAGTGTGCAAAGTGAATTTTGGTCCATTCTAGGGAGGGGGAACATGGCCATAGGTTTATCTTACTGCTAAGACTGTAGCTTGATACAGTATACTTTTCGTGGCTGCCTCTTATGTGACGGCACATTTCCAGGCAAAGGAGGAAGCCCTGGGAATACTGAGCAGTTGGAGCTGACCTTTAGCTCTACAGGTACAGGAATGCACAGCTTAGTCCTGATGTTTTTGTAGTGAGTCCCTCACTGTATAGGTAAGTACCCAACCAACCCCCAGCACTGCTCGCTGCTTGGAATGGAGGCTGGGACATTAAAGAGCTATTGGGATGTCTGAGATTTATTGCAGAAGAGAAGACACAGCTGGGAGCAAGGAAAAGGCAGAGCTGTGTTAGTGGAGTGATGCCAGGGTTGTGAAGGGGATTTTTTTGGACCAGGCCAAGTGGAAAAGATGTCAAATTCCTGTAGGAGTGCACAGCAGCAACTAAGGACAGTTAAAGGAGCCAGAGACATTGCCAGTGACTTCTTTATTCCTGTTCTGTTGTTTGGCCCCATGGTGGTCATTCACGATTTTGCAACTTGCTTGGGACTGTTTAATTTTGAATTATTTGTATCTCCTTGCAACAAAGCTTTTGAATCCATCTGTCTTTTATGATCAAGCCTGACACTGAATGCTGAAATGGTTAAAGATGACCTTCCCTGCCATCAGCTGTGCTGCTTCTGTTCAATGCCATCTGTGAATTGACCTAGAAGCTCTCAGCATGCTGAAGTACATCAGAAATAATTATCAGGCTGTTGCTCACAGCTGAATTTCCCTGCCAGTTGTGCAGTTGGTGCCCCAAAGGCAGACTTGTCTGTAGGGTTTGGCTCGTTTCCCACTGTGCTGGGTTTAAGGAAAACGGCACCACCCCGAACACGCTGGTGTCTGCTGTGTAACTTGTTCCTATCGGGCACCTGAACAGAGGTGGCAGGAGAGAGCTCTTGCCTTTCTCCCTGAATCTTGCTCTGTTTTCACCATATCTGCTTGTGGGGTTTATAGTCACTGGTGAAAGGAATTATGGCTGAGGGGGCCATCAGCCCTAAGATTAGAGTAAGGATTCAATGGCTCTTGGCTAGGAGTCTCAGAAAGCACTTACAGGTCGTATCTTCAGAAGTTCCTGACATTGGCAGTTGTGACTAAAGTGGGTGTTGTTGGGAAGGCAGAAAAAGTGATTGTTTTTTGTTTGGGTTATTTTTTATCAGGTTGCCTGGCATCATCCTCTGAGTTTTAAGGAATAGAAAGTTAATAAGGACATCACTGTTGGGAACTGTAAGAACTGGGCATTTTTTGCCTAACTGTGCTG